TAAGAAAGCTGTGATCACATAAATTAAAATCACCACAGACTATAGACAACGAGTTTCCGAATGCAGGAGCAGCGAATTCAGTAAACTCATCTGCAAACATAACTATATTAGAAAGGCTACAATTGGGTGTTATGTAAATATTTGTTATGTATATATAAGAATATTTACTTAAGTGTTTTGGGCGACACCTGACGGTTATGCAATCTATATTGTCATTAGAATAATTGAAGCAAACGTGATTTGATGTAGACCAACTTGTGTTTATAAATGTGGCTACCCCTCCTCCATATTTTTTCTTGGAACTATTTCTATCTTGGCGAAAAACTTTATATCCATTTATTGAAACTAGATTATCATCATAATGCTGGTGCAGCCAAGTCTCTTGTATTGCTAAAACGCCAGCATTTCGATAAACATTGGAATACATTAGGGATTGAAGATAATCCATTTTGTTGGACAGGGATCTACAATTAGTGCTAACGAGTTCAGGAACAGTCATTTGATTAATTTGTGTACGTTTCAGTGCACGCTGCCAGCCACAGTGATGCTTTTTTCTCAATTTTTGTGGATGACACAACGCGGTAGGTTGTAATGATTTTAAAAATGCGCGATTATATATAATACGATTAGGACACATTATTGATAAATTAAAACAAAATTAAAAGAGCAAACCAAAGCAATTTTGCAAAATGTTGTAAGGTGGAACTTTTGGTAGCCCAATTTTCAAGCAGGCCGCCTACTTACTGTCTGTCTTAACTATGGTAAATCATCATTTAAAACAGCATTCATAAAAATAATCTATAACATCCAGTATGTCGTGGTTTGAACGCAGAAAATCAATCTTCGCGTTCTGCAGTGTTTTTTCTCTATCTCTTAGATTTCTGAGTACAGCATAGGTGACAACAAGCTGGGATTCTTGGGTTTTGGAAGGAACGCGAATGGGGTCGGTGGGTAGCTATCCCCACGCTCAACCTTCAATCTTTACTAGGATTGCTAACGGTTTATTGAGGTTTAGAAGTGCGTTGACCAAAAAAAACAAACCCTAGGCTACATGACGCCGTTCTACTGCATATTTGACCGAAATTTCCTTTAAGGACACCCATAGTCACAAAATCTCCGAACGACAGTAAAGTGACAGTTATTTGAGAAAAAATCTAAGGTACTAGTTAACAACAGAAACGTATCAAATAGTTGAAATTACATCAGCAATGCAGTTTGGCAGCTGTACGGATCAAATTCCTTCTCAGTGACAAACTAAGTATTGCAGAACATTGGGAGGACTCGTCGATCTCTGAAAGTAAGGGCTTCAGAGCATATTCCTAAATGGTTTCAGGAGCAAGTTGAATCACCAGAACGCATTAAAGGTGAGAAAAGGCGACCTTACTCCTTTATTGCGAAATATATTATAGGGACAGGACATAAAATTGATGCTTATTATTATTAGTGTCCCCTTGGGTTCCTAGTGGAACCTACGGCTTCAACTGCATGTCTCCACTTGCTTCTGTCTTCTACCTTTCACCTGCATCCATGGTAGTTAGTCCATAATGTTTCATCTCCTCTTCAGACGATCTCCTCCATGTCACCCCTACACCGACGTCCCAATCGTAGCTTCTTTTTCGGCCTGGGTCCGCTCGAGCAATGTCCTGACGCGCGCGCGATGTCACCCAGCGGCGGCCTCCTCAACGAGTGTCCAATCCATCTTTCTTCACTTTCTCCTGCATATTTGTTGGTTGGCGATTGGTTCTTGTTTGGTTTGTTCCCACAGTTTGGTTGGTTGTTGATGATTCTTTCCGACCCGGCCATCTGATCTTCAGTCTAGAGCGAGGAAAGTTGTTGGTTGATGAAGGTCTGCAACAGGTTGTTGGTGGAAATATTCTCTGTGACCCACCCGCCAAGTTTCTGATCCGTATAGGAGAACTGACTGACTAAATTGACGTTGTTTGTATTGAAAATCCGACCGAATTTTGTTGTTGATGCTGGCTGAGTGACAAAGATTTCCAGATTGGTTTCAGGTTGATGAACAACGTGTTTCTCGCCTTCCCGATTCTCGCTCGATTTGACATCCTCGTCCGTTCCGACTTCCTGTAGTTGAGACAACGCTCCCTGGATAAGTGAATAGAGTAATCTCCTTCAAATCCCTCCCGTTGATGGTGATTGACGCTGGATGTTGCTGCTGTTGTTGTCGTTGTTGGTCGGTTATTTCCATAACCTCCGTGTTGTCTATGTTCACCTGGAGTCCTGTCTTCGCAGGCTGCTTCTTCGACCAGTTTGTCGGTCGGTTTTCGCTTGTAAGTCTTCGATTTTATGACAGTGACATCAAACGTAAATCACTCACGCGCGAAATCCAGGTCTTCTAGGTTCTTCAAGTCTGTCTGTCCAAAATATCCCTGTCTTCTCGTTCCCCACTCACTGTCTGACGTATAATCCAGTCCACGACAATTAGGAATAGCATTCATTGGTGGTAATAAGCACTTTTGTCTGACTCCTGTGTTTACTCCAAACGCTTCGCTGAGTTTTCCGTTGTGGATCACTTGACATGTTGCGTTGTCATGAGGTTGATGAATATTTGGGCACTGCACGCCGTAGTACTCGAGTAGTTTCCAAATTACTTTGCGGTCAACGCTGTCGAAGGCCTTCTCAAAGTCTATTAAGTAAAATTGACGCTTACACGTCTTTGAATCCTATTCATAAAATGTGTTTTGGGGAGTATCTAAAAAATTTTTTGGAAGTCCTAGCTAGCAATCAGGAAGTTTTAACTACCGTTATGCGATCAGAGCGATCACCACAACAAAACTTCCTTAGTAAACTTTGTTTTGATGATATCAACGCAGATGTACTAACTATTACCTCCCTTCTTTGGTCAATTGATTTTCATTGTTATTTTGACCTTCAGTATGCCCTTTTAACTTAACCTAAGTAGTCTATTTTCTCACCTCTTAACTCTTTATTAATTTCATATATATTCCTATGACAAGTCTGTGTGTGATGCATCGGATTTTTCGAAATAAGTGCTGAGTAAATACACTACATATTGTAGTGACCTAATATTCTAACGTATTTCTCCAAAAGTGAGAATGATCTAAATTCATATACTCCGCGAAAAAATTCACACTAGGAGACATGTCAGAACGAGGCATATCTGATTCAACAGACAATGTATACCGAGAATGAAAAAGTGAAGATGAAATTCAGCAAATGTTTAACTCTAAATCCTGCAGTCTGGATATTACTATCGAATAACGTTTGCTATCACACACTAGTTATCAGCCACGTCTCATAAACCGTTAATGCCCAGCTCTTGCTACGCTCGGGCCCACGCTGTTCCTTGCAGTTTTTCAGAAACGCTTAGTAATAACGGACGAAAAAAACCAGAAGACCGATTGGTGACTCGATAATTCTTTATTGTTACACCAACATATAAAAATAATGTTTTTACTAGGGTCTGTGAACAAATATTACAGTAATAAATCACAATATTACTTCTGATGGTTTACTGCTGACTTCTTTCTGAACAGCGACCGATGAGACGATGACTGTCGTATTGATGCCTCCGCGAAAATTGGGGAAGTTGGTTTTGAGCAAACAACCAAGAATTGATCGTTCAATCTTCAACTCCATTGACACTAGTAAAACCTGATTCATTGTATGAATGTTCATTGATAAATTTAGGGGTTACAAACACTACACATTCATTAGTATTAGGACTGTAATTTGAAGTGAACCAAAGGATGGTGATTGGCAATGGAATCCAGTACTATCTGCATTTCGTCCCATTTGGGACTCGTCAGCTAGATGGACCGTCATTCCCCAAATAAGTTATGGTCCGAGCAACCACCAGGTGACGAGTCTCACAAAGGACGAAATACACATCTGGAATCCAATTGATAATCACCATCCAACACCTGACTTCAAGTTACTTGACCAGGCATTGTTTAAGTATCTGTATGAGGGGCCGACATATCATCCTGAGACCGAGTACTTCGGTTCAATCAATCGATAGGGAATGAAATAAGGACTATAAGTTTAAATATTTTAACAACCCAGTAATTTTTCCTATTCTCTATGTGTTTATGTGTTGTAGGTGATATTGTGCTTGTGAAGAGTCAATTTGTAGGGGTCTGACTGGCTGCAGGTTTGACCAGGCGCTAATAAGAATAGAATTTGCGCACTCTGGTAGAGTATGATTCCATAATGAGTAAAATTTATTACGATAAAGTCTCACAGTGTCAAATTAGTGATATACAGTCTAGGTGGGGGAAAACGTATAATGATTACAAACTTAACTAATGGATGGTGACTAGCAGTGTGATCCAGGATGCGCATTTCGTTCTATTTTTGACTTGTCATCTGGATGTACCTGCATCTCCCAGTGAGTGATGATGTTCCCACCGAGACGAAGCCAGCGCTCCTATAGTTTCCATCGCCATAGCGTTATCCACTAGACCACTTGGGCCACGAAAGCCACCTCTTGTGCAACGGGTCAAATTAATTTTCTAATTCAATTTTAGATTTTCTTGTCGATTGATTGAACCGAAGTGCTCAGTCTCAGGTTGACATGTCGGCTTTTTTTGTAGATGCTTCGACGATTTCTGGGTATGTAATGGATGGGGACATCATCACTCACTGTGGATTGCAGGTACGTCCAGTTGTTGACGAATCCCAGATAAGACGAAATACGCATCCTGGATTCCACTGCTAGTCACCATCCACCAATTAAATTCTAATTACATGTCCATACATCGTCAAAGCATCTGCACGATGAGCCGACATGTCAACCTGAGACCAAGCACTTCGGTCCAATCAAACATTTTGAGTATTACAATATATTCCTTCAAGACTGTAGATAAGCCTTGCTGACGAGTACATGCCGGCACGAAACCTACGCCCTCGACTTCCTGTTGATTTTCCCCCCGCCGATGATCTATGATAAATCATATTTTCTTTACGAAGTTATTGATTTTCAATTGATTGATTGATTTCTATTTTTTGCTCTTTTTTAGTGTATTGAACAGCTACACTATGGTGATATTCTGAATTCAGCTCAATCGGATGTCTCATCAGTAGCTATGCCTCAATCTATCCGGTGAGTATAACTTTTATAAAAAATGATCGATGAGGATAAAAGCAATAGCAAGGTGTTTTCGCACATATAGTATAATCACAGTCTGCAAAACAGGCATAACATCTGAGCAAAAAAAACTGATCAATAAAACGCTTTTATTTTAACAAGTTTGACCACAGATTGATATCAATTAGATAAACCACTGAAATCCATTCAGGGAGTAATGGACAGCTATTTTTCATTCTCGTTTGGGAATCATCGGCAGTACTCATTCACAAAAAAAAATCTAATCCTTATAAACCAACTCTAGAAAATTAATCTGATGCTCGCTAGTGACTGACTTGCTACAGGACACAGTTGCCTGGAGCTTTAATGAGAAGTAGTGACCAGTAAGATCCATCCAGTCAAGTTTGAGGATGGATGTCCCACCGATGACATTGGTTGGTGGTCGCGCTAACTCATGAGTTGGTAGAAGTTAGAACTCATGACCTGGCCATTGAGGAGTCTGGTACCAGCTGCTGAATGGTATACGAGTTTGCCTTGTAACCGAAAGGTCCTGAGTTCGAACCCTGATAGTTACTGCCGTACTGCCGATTATTCCCAAACTGGAACGAGACGTCTGTGAAGTACTTTGTGCTGGTTTTCAATGGTTCTCTAAGCAATGTCAATCCATGCGTGGTGAAACTCATAAAAACACATTTCTTTAAGGACTTAATACCAAATCACTTAAGAGCGAACTATCAAAGGAAATTGGGATTGTAATTGCCTGCCTCTGTTTTATCTATCTATCTATCTATTCCAACAAGTTGGGAAAGGAACAGAATTAAACTCACCAGGGTTTCAACTCAGGACCTTCTGGTTGCAAAGGAAGCTCATAAATGACTCAGCTACTGGAGCCGGATTCACTGGTCAACCCATAAATTCTAATTTCTACAAATTATTGATTTTTAGGCGGCTGACACTAGTCAATGTCAACCGTGGCGGGTAATTTTCCCCACTCCCGACCTAGTGGAACCCACTTGGTGTTCACGACTTCCCACTAGAACCCACTCCAGGCAATTTCATCCTTCCTCCAGTTACTGTTATGCATAGGATTAAAAGTCAAGAATTGGTTATAGGGATTTGATTTATGTGAAGTTAAAGAACCTTTGAAACCAGTGGTGTCTGTCACTTCGGGTGTGAGGATAAATGCACGTCAGTGACATTTTCTGGTACCCGTCACGCTATCATCACAAATCGTTAGAAGTTAAAATTCATGACTTGGCCATTAAGGAATTGGGTCCCATTGGAAGGTATTATCTAGCTATGACCTGTGTACGGCCTTGATTTACAAGAGCAAATGAATTGACAACTGCACATGGAGGCAGTCAGATAGAACGGGCTTAATAATAATAATCTACTTTATTCCGAAAACAGTGCTTATAATACAGAATGGAATTCTCAGCATTTGTCACAACACCTTGCATTTGATTTACTTAAAATATAAATAAAATTAAAACAAAAGTAACCACAGGAATTTGTCCACGCTTACGATATAAAGTCAAAAATATTAGAAGCACGAATTGAGAGTATTAAATATAATAACAATAATAATAATAACAGTGAGTTTGTTTCAAAAAGTACTGTCGATTCAATTTGGAAATTGTAGCATGTTATGGATTATTGGATCTAATGTTATGTTGACATAGCAGCATGGTGAGGAGAAATACAAAATTAACAGTCATGACACAGCTTAAATGATGTACACACTTATGACAAAATAAATAAAAATAAAAACAAAAAATCGAGAGGAATATAAATATAAGAAGTACCATAACAATAAAGGTTGATGGTGCAAGGGTGAAGGAAATGGTTTATTTAGTAGTGCAAAGAAGGTTAGTTAGTTCATGCCTAACACTATTTTCATCACATAAAATACGTGAAGCCAAATATGGTATCATGGGATTTTTATACTTAGACGTACGTGCATAAAGTCTTCTGAAAGGACTTCTTGTTTTACCTGAAGAGACATAAGGTTGGAGGTGCAAATAGCGTGGGTGCTCAGAGTCTGATAAAATTCCTTTAGGAAATTTGTTGCATTAAATCAAGTGCTTATCAATGACAATGTCAACGATATAGCCTCATGGGATACCATCACTCGGCCTACTGATAGCCTTCAGAGTTCTACTAAGTATGACATAGTCTTTTTTAAGCAATCCAGGAAAGAATAAGGATAAACGATGAAGAAGAATAGGTAATATGCACGGGTTGACAAACTGTAAGATGAGGAGGGGTTGAGTTATCCCTGAGTGCCTCAACTTCTTAATGTAAAAAGCCAGATGAAATATGATTTTAGAAATCGCAAAGACAGGTACTTTAGTTCAGACTTCATTACTATATCAGTATCATCAATTTTGCAACAGTCATAGGAACCAACGGCTTCATTTTACTTTCGTTTACATCGAAAACTGAAATTAACAGTGTGACATTTGGAAGGATTTAGTTTAAGATCGTTAGAAGAAGACCATTTGCTAATTCCTGATAGAAAGCTGTTCATCTTAGTACAGTCTAGCTGGAAGTTAACAGACATTGAAATAGGTAGATCATCGGCATACTTAACAAAGTTCATTTCATCATCAGAGTGAGGTAAATTATGTCAGAAGAAAGAAAACAGAAAAAGTAGAAGAAATAGCGCCTTGAGGGACGTTACGCCATATTCTCCAACTAATCATATAAATTTCAAATCCCATACCTTGGAAACTATGAATTCAATGAAGCATTTCACCTTGGTTAGACACTGCGTAGTTAGTAAGCGCTATCATGAGTCTAGCCTTTGTTTGTTTGGTGCAGACTGAATTAGTTGAAAATAGCTATCCCGAAAATAGCTATCAAGAAACACATGACAAAGAAAGCGACGGAAAAGGACTACTCACTATCCATCCGTAAACAAGAAGCCACTTTATATACGACTGCAATTCAAGGGCGACATACCAAGTGAGATAATAACGAAGAAATTAAGAAAATCAGTTCAAAGAACTTTTAATGCTGGCGAACTACACGTCTTATTCTCTACACGACCGATGGTGCTATCTCGACTGAAAGATGAAGTACCTAGACTAGACTAGCTGACCACATCAAATTGTATCTACCAATTCAACTGCGCTTGTGATGGAGCGAGTTATATTGGCTGTTGCTGTAGGAACTTGATTTTTCGTGCTCACTCGAGAACACGTCCCACTATGGCTAAGTAATGGTGTAGTAAAAACCGTCACCAACAGTTCGATATTGGACCATCTGGTGCAAACCGGCCACAGAGCCAGCCAGCGTGGAAGAATCCTTCTCCATAATCTACCGGCTGCCAAAATCATCGAAGCACCGCATGCTTCAAACAGCAGAGGCTATTGCAATTTGCCTCGAACAACCAGTGCTCGGTGTTCAAAAGAAGCAAATCCAACCAGCCTCTACTACTACCCTGGCCAGCCTTTCAGTAGAGACTATAAATTCATGAATTTGTAACATATTATCTTCCCTAATTCTTTCTGACATTCAGTTTATCATTTTATATTGGTGCTATTGAGCTGTAATCTGTTGATATTATTATTGATTCGATGTTACTTAAACAGCAACATTAATGGTGTTCATAACACTAATTCATTCATTCATTCACTATAATGTATATATAAGTGTAGAGCCTGATGTTGAAGGGGTTATCGAAAAGAGTGCTCTTTGTTCAGTATCCATTCATTTGAATTCTGTCAGTCAATTTTTGCAGTTTGGCTATTATGCCACTAGGTGGCTTGGCATCGCACTTCACTTTGAATCATTGGTATTAGATGGTTGGAAGCGATAGTCACGAAGACGTCGATCTAGGTGTTTTGCTTGTTAGCGTATCCACAATCTTGAAAATATTCATATCACCTGTCTGGGATTCGAACCCATGTCATCCACTGCCACATTCAGAGAATTTAACACAAAATTGATTGTCTTATCACTTGAGACTGAACTATGATTATAATCGTAAACGTTTTATTGCTTTTCGCATTATTATTATTATGAGTGTTCACGCTTATTATTTAAATTTCTTCAACGGATATAAATGTGTGCATATATAAAAACTTGTCTTTGAATAAAGCAAGAACAACAACGTTGGTTTTCGCAGAATAAAATGCTACCACATCAGTGTTTATTTCGTTGCCTTCTCATCAGCTGCTTACAGACCATAGTCATTATTAAATATATCTACAAAAATAATTTTAACATACTTGCACAGAATTCATTTTTAAACAAAAACCAATCAATCAATATATGCATACAATAATATATATATAATAACAATAAACAAAAGAGCCTTAATAAGGTGCCTCTTCAGTAGAATCCAACAAATATGCACTAAAGACATACTTGATGAAGTGGAAAGAATGTTGACACAAACTCTGACTGATAACAGTTATCCAGACAAGTTCATCAGAAGATATAAAGTAGTCAAAGCACCAAGACCCACTCTCCAACTCGCCCCTAACAATGACGTGTACATCAAGCTACCTACCCTATGTAGGCCGTCATAACAGCTTGATAACTAGACAAAGACTGAACGCTGCTGTTAAAAAGACTTCTCATGCAGCTGATTTCATAATAATTGAGAACCTGATGCCAATATATCCATCCATCCATCTAAGCCCTTCGAACGGGAGAAAGATGATTTATTTTATTTTTATTTTTGATCACACCGTATTTTTGGTACAGGTATGGAATTTTCAGCGTGGATACCGGTAGCCCAAAATTCGCAGGCCAACCATAGATATCAGGTGTGCGTCGGCGTGGGCTCGAACCTCGGACCATGTCCATGGTCGGCGAGAGTCCTAACCACTGGGCCACCGACGCACATTCCACTGGATTTACCAATATGAATGTACGTGTGGACACACATATATAGAAGAGCGGACTCATCAGTCTCTGCAAGTAAGGGCTGGCTTCAGAGCATATTCCTAAATGGCCCCAGAAGCAAATAGAATCCACAGAACCTATTAATGGTGAGAACAGACGATGACCTAGCCCCTCTATTGCGAAACATATTATAGAGGAGACAGGACATAAAACTGACGTTAACAGATCTTTTAAACCTATCTGTAAAATGTGTTTGGGGCATATCCTAAAGCTTTTGGATGCCCAAGCTGGCAATTAGAAAGTTTAGGCCACCTTCACGCTCTCAAAACTATTCACCCTCAAAGCAAACCATCCTTGGCAAACCTTGTTTTGTTTTGATAGCAGGGTAGGTGTAGTACTACCTGTGTTATTTGGTTTAGTGGTCGTCACTGTTATTCTGACCTTCAATATGCATTTTTAACGTCGCCTAAGTAGTTTGTTTTCTCACCTCATAACTCTCTAATAATTTCATATATACACATTCCTATGAAGAGTCCATGTGTAATGGATCGGATTGTTCGAAATGTGTCGAGCAAATACAGCATTACATGATTCAGACAAATTACGTCTTCTTATTGCTTTGTCTAAATAAACATTTTATCACGAACAATAATGATCATACACAATGGAGGGTGAAAAAATATCCAGTTACCAGACAGGTCCAGAAAAGACTAATAACTGCTTCTTTCTGAACGCATAAATCGAGTTTTAGGCGTTTGATAGAGGTGGCTTCAGAAAAACTGAAGGGAATTGAACTCTTTTGCCTAAATCTTGTGACGTCAATTTTATGACCTTTGTCAAGGAGACGCTTGGCTATGGCACTGTTTAAAACATTTGTCCCCTTGAGATACAGGCTTTTTGTTACATATTCAGGAAATCAGAGGTATACCTTTCTACCTTCTGTTTTTCCAATGTAACTGCTCCCTCAGATACATATAAATTTGCATATATCGATTGATTGATTGATTTTTGTTTAAAAGTGAACTCTATTCAAGTATGTTAAAATTGTTTCTGTATTTATATATTTAATAATGACTTTTGCCTGTAAGCAGCTGATGAGAACCCAAAGAAATGAATAATGATGTGGTAGCATATTATTCTGCAAAAACCAACGCTGTTGTTCTTGCTTTTTGTTAAAATTCACTAAGGGGAATAAATGTATGAAACTTGTATTTCATAAATAATTGTGTTTTTTTTTCCTGTTTTTATATTCCATTTCAGATCGGATCCAAAGTTGTTTAAAGATGATGTTGATATTAAATTCAGTCATACATTGAACTCTTGTAAAGTTCCTCAGGTAAGAAAAAAAGAAAAAATGTTTAATTTATTTAAATTTATGGCAATTAGTTGAAAATTGATTAATTTATTGATTGATTGGCTAGTTGATAATTTATAATCAATAATTTTATTTTCTATAGTTTGGTATGTAAGGATTAGTTATGTTTTTACAAGTTGATCACGGATTGATATCAGTTAGAGAAACATTGAAAACCAGCCACAGGGAGTACTGGACAGCTGCTGTTTCATCCTAGTTTGAGAATCATCGGAAGTACGCACCCGCTGGGATTCGAACCCAGGAGCTTCCGGTTACAAGGCAAGCTATCTCGTATACCATTCAGCCACTGGGACCCGATTCAATGGATCCCTGGTTTTCAATGGTTCTCTAACTGATATCAATCCGTGATCAACTCGTATAAACATAACTAATCCTTACAAACCAAACTATACAAAATTAATCTGAGGCTCGCTAGTAACTTACTACAGGTTGGAGTGTCCTGAGTTCTAGTGAGAAGTCGTGACCAGTGAGATTCAATTAGATGTCACGTGTGTGGATGGATGTTCCACCAACGACAATGGTTGGGATCGCGCTAAATCACGAATTGGTAGAAGCTAGAATTCACGAGCCATTGAATCGGATCTCAGTGGCTGAATGGTATACGAGATAGCTAGCCTTGTAACTGAAAGGTCGTGGGTTCGAACCCTGGCGGTGGGTGCGTACTTCCGATGATTCCCAAACTAGGATGAAGCAGTTGGCTGTCCAGTACTCCCTGCAGGTTTTCATTGGTTCTCTAACTGATATCAATCCGTGATCAACTTGTAAAAGAATAATATTATTGTCTGTCTCCATCTACCACTTTATAGTTCATAGATTTGAGGTCAAAATGATGAACTACACAATTGAATACATATTAAATGACTTTAAGCGTTTAACTAATTAACTAACTAGCTAGTTGCTGATGAGTTTTTAGAGAGAGTGTAGATCAACATGAATACCCAAAGATGTATTGGAAATCACTCAGATGCAACCACATTCATCCGAACACCAGAACGCTGAGACGACACACGCTAAACAACATCGATTCCATTCAATCACGCATTCCTAAGCTAGAACGAAATGTCTACTCACGTGCTCATGTAGTCGAAGACTTAGATGCAGAACTACGCCAACCCTTCGAAGAATATGTAAAAGAAGTCACTGAGAAACAATGCAACAACATCAAATCTGACCTCCTTAAGAGCCTAAAGCCTTCAGTTAACACCGAACGTCCGTTTCCAAGCAATCCAGAAAAGTATGTATTCAACCTCTCAAACATCGCATTATCCACAGCTCAACTGGAGGTGTTATCTCTTGGTCCGAAATTCTGCAAAACACCACGAAGTGTTCAGAAGCTTCAATGCCTGGTTCAATTTGAGAACCTGATAAATCAAACCTATGACTTGATACCAACGTCCGATGAGAACCTACAACAGTTCAAATCAACTATCCTCGACTGTTGCCACAAATTTAAAAATGGCAATCCAAACGGACGATCCGTACTAACGAAGAAACACTACAAAGAGCTGAAAGAATTGATGAACAATGAAGAGATTATGCTGATACGTCCTGATAAAGGTGGAGGAATCGTATTCCTGAACCGTAAGGATTATATCAGTAAAATGTTGACCATTCTATCTGATGAATCTAAATTCACCAAACCGGCCAACGAGAAAAACATGACGGAGCAGGTTGAACAAAAACTAACAGACATCCTCCGTAAACTAAAGAACAAATCCTGCATTACCAACGAAAAGTTTGAATCCCTGAGATCATCTGGTTCAAATATACCAAGACTCTATGGACTTCCTAAAGTACACAAGATGGGCACTCCACTTCGACCGATCCTCGACATGACTAATTCACCTTACCACCGCACTGCCCAATGGCCAGCAGACTTACTTGAACCAATCAGAAAACAAGTCTCCCGTCACTCAGTTCGAAATTCATTTGAATTCGTCAACTGCGTCGAAAACGTCAATGTTTCTAATCAAACGATGATCTCACTAGATGCTGTCTCATTGTTTACAAATGTTCCACTAACTGAAACAATTTGTCACATATGCGAGCTCATCCACTCAGAAGGAGTAAACATTGGCATACCTACCGACTACCTACAAGAACTTCTGCTGAGATGCACCCTAAACGTCCAGTTCCCCTTTAACAATGAAATATATCGTCAAAAGGATGGTATAGCTATGGGCTCACCACTAGGCCCTCTGCCTGCGGATTTCTTTATGTCGAAACTCGAAAACACTTTCCTAAAGAATATGATTGACAACTTTGAACTCTACGTCGACGACAACTTCATCATCTGCAACAACGAAGAGAATTTAGAAGATATCCTGAAGTTCTTCAACAACTGCCACCCTGCCATTCAGTTCACACTAGAGAAAGAGTCTAACTCAAAGATATCTTTTCTTGACGTTCAACTAACGAGACGCCAACAAGACGGAACATTAAAAAGATCCATCTACAGAAAGCCAACGTGGAACGGACAGCTCACTAACTTCCACAGTTGGGTCCCTATATATACTATATACTAAACGAAACTTAATCCGTTCAATAAGCCACAGAATACGTAGAATTTACAGCCTGGACGCCATAGAAGATGAAATGAACACTCTTAAGAAAATCCTCCTTGAAAATGACTATCCAGAAAGATTTATCACAAAATCAATGAAACCTAGACCAGAGAAGCCGCCCACACCCAGTGCTCCAAAAAGACTTCTCTATATGAACCAACAGTTCAATGGAGACCAATCTACAGAAATGATGAGTTTTAAGCCAGGACGCGACATCTATTGAGTCCTCTAAAATGGTTTTCAGTGGTTATATAACTAATATCAATACCTGGTAAAACTTCAAAAATATCGAATCCCCACAAATTAACTTTTAAAAATATTCACATTTTTAAAATTAGAACAAGGCATTTTAAGCGAATAATACTGTATTTTTCAATTAGAACTTCTTTAGGCTTTACTCAGATTTACGTAGCTTTATGTATCAGAAGAAATTTAACCAACGACGGTGAGTTTGTGGATTCACTAATAATAATAATAATAGTATGTTAAATGTTTTGAACGTCAGTGATAGCGTTGGTGGTACAGCGGTTAGCACTCTCACCGACCATGCACATGGTCTGGGGTTCGATCCCCGGCCGCCAATGCACTCCTTTACCTTGCTAAGCCAGAAGTAAAGCTGGTAAAGAGGAGAGGTTGGGCATGAGACTTGCCACCCTATCGTGTAGAAATAAACACTGCTACAAAAACTTCAGGCCCTTAGCAATGATTATTATAATCATCACAAAATAGGGATAATAAGGTATATGCAGGTGGCGATAAGAAAAGCGAAGGTGATAATATGTGTATATGTAGACAATTCATTGAATAAATAAATTAGGTCAAATCTTTTTTTCTTTCACGTTCCCCGGTGGAACATAGGACACCTTCAAGCTAGTGGCTTGAAGTTTCTGTAGCAGTGTATATTTTTATACGATGGGGTTACTAGCTTCATGCCCAACCTTTCCTCTTTACCAGCATTATTACAGGCTTACCGAGGTAAAGGAGTGTGTTGGCAGCCGGGGATCAAACCCCAGACCATGTGCATGGTCAGTGAGCGTCTTAATCGCTATGCCATCAGCGCACTAGGTCAAATCTTAAAAGTAACTTAATACTAAATGTGAAGTGGACAGATAGTCAGAGTTTAAATAAATACCATAAAAGTACGGAGGAAACAGGGAACAAGAAGGGCCGGGTGGGAGAGTTTTAATTAGAGTTTACCTAGGACAAGGAAGACAGAGACACTGGTGGAACAAACTTTTTTTTTGTTATATGCAAAGACTAGGATGGTTCTCTTGAATTCGTATGGAGGATTTAACTTAAGTTGAAAAGGTTCGATGGAATGAGATAAATAACCTGTAAGGCGATTCATCTATCCACTTGGTGACCGATATCAATCAAATTTCATTGCAGTCGTATGCATAAAGGCACCCTGGATACGGATAGTGAGTAGTCCTTTTCAACTTTCTTAGTCATATGTTTTCTAATAAATTTGTCTGGATAGCTGTTTTAAGGCAAAGTATCATATTATAATCCTTAGTTCATCTTCAATTAACTCTTCTGAGCTAATAGCTCTAACCCTGCGTTTGAGGGTCCTTATTAAATTCATTTTGTACTGAAGACGAAAGAAGTTTTAAAAAATGTGTATATTTTCCTGTCCATGCGCTTTTCCTATGTCGTCCAAACTGAACATAAAGCCAAAAAGCCAGTAATGAAGAATCCCTCTTTATCATCTACCGGGTGCCAAACACATTGCCAAAACCATCGAGGTACCGCATACTCCAAATGGCAGAGGCTATCACGATTCGCCTGAAACAACCAGTGCTCTGTGTGTGTAGAAGAAGCAAGTCCAGCCACTACTGCTTCCCTGGCTGGCCTTCATTGGGGACTATTAATTCCTGAATTCTGTATAATTATTATTTTCCCTAACTCGTCTGATACTCAGTGCCTAGTGTTAATCTGATACTGTTGATCTGTAATCCATGGATTATTATTATTATTGTGAATGGGTATATAACTGTAGAATCTGACCTTGAGGAAGTTACCGAAAAGGCATATTCTTTAATTAGTAACTATTCTTTTGAAAAAAAGATTTAATTGGGATTGTTAATCAGTTAAAGCGTTAAATGTTTAATATTTAGGTCGAACGACGGAACTTCTCAAAAAACCCACTATTGAGCATTATCCTTCATGGTTCGAAAAACGTCGAATAAAATGTACAAGAAGTTCTTTTATTAAGTGCTGGTCAGCAGGGACTTGATTTATTACAGGATTTAATCATGAGCTGACCTCATTTAGAGAATCATTGGTAAACCAATAGAGAATACAGGACATTTGCTTCGTTCTAATTTGGGAATGTTCTAGTAAGAAGTTGTGACCACTGCGGTACATCATTTCGGGTGTGGGGACCACCAACACCGA